AGCTGGTGACACATCAGCACAAAGTGGCAGCTTTTAAGCTTTGCCTCATCATCATTATCCCTGTAATTCATAAGGAGGAAATCATTTTTTATCTATCTATCTATCTATCTATCTATCTATCTATCTATCTATAATGTCATGGTAATTGTGCACTTATTCTGCCTTACAGTATGCAGCTTGTCTAAAAGAGCTTTTCTTTTCATTAAAAAATGCATTTAATCAACTATCTACCATCCGTCTTTCTGTCTGCCTGTATGTCTATATGTTATATTTTCCATTTTTTCACTGTAGGAACCATTGAAACCATTTCACCATTGAAATAGTATCACTGTCATACTAGGCCTCAAGACAACCTTTTATGTGCTCTTATAAATTAAAAATGCATTGCCTTATATACTGCTAAAATGTGTTTTATTTGATGGAAACAAAAGGCTAGTCTCTTTTCATTTTAGTTGGTCTTTTCAGTCTGCGAGCTTTCCAGTGTGTTATTGTCTTGTTCTCTCTTAAAAACATTGCATGAAATCCTTTGCCCATATGCACAAGACAGAAACATTTATAAATAAATACAACAGCATCCATATTTCCTGGTGCCACCAAAGGGACATTAAACTCGACTGTCTTTAATAGCTGAAGAGAGCGCTGCTCGCAGTCAAGTCAATAAGCGGGAGCTAATGATTTGTGACAGCCAATTGCTGCGAAACACGAATCGCTAAAAACACAAACATCACTCAGAGCTTGGGAATCATTGTAATAGCTTGAGTAGCTGAGAAGACTCAGTGCCAGATGTGCTGACGGAGTAAGGGGTCTCATATGTCCAGGCCTAAACCGGTTCTGGCCCAGTTTGCCATTCCATGCCACATACCAGCTGCACTTCTCCAGACGTTTCAATTTAGCCCAAAGTGCGGGTCTTTGCAGTTAAATATCACCCCTTTCCCAGAGGCTGAATGCAAGCCAGTCTGCTCCTCTGTAGTCTCCCTCCCTGCTTCTCAACGGGAAAAGGCACATTTAACGATTGTCTGGCCAAGAAATGTGCTCCCCCCATCCCCACCCCCACGTCACGCTGCCTCTTCAGCCTTTAGTTATTGGTTTAATTAAATCAAAACGGGCAAGTTCCCTACTCCAGGGAAACCACCCTTCAGTTTCTGTCGTATTCTTAAAGAAAATGTTAAAAGCATCCCATCCCATCCTGTCATAGTCACTCCGAAAAGGTTAAGAGTTTATAAGGTCATAAACCAAATCACTTTAAATACACCCAAGGTATTAATAATGTATAGATATATGCTGGAGATGTCTAATGCAACACCCACACACATAGGTAAATGCGTATATTTTATAATGTGCCACACAAATCACATTTTAAATGCGTAAAAAGGTGTATTTTATCCCTGTCAGAGCAAAAGGCAACAGTGTGTCAGTTGCTCAGGAAACTCATTATGTTTGGTGGAAATGCTCCTCTCTGTGAGCTACAAGGGATTTCTTAGTGCATTTGAATTACATACAAGTCATAGGAGCGTCAGACATCAAATAAAGTTATTGTGACCTGACCCTCACTTCAGATACACTCCAGCCAAATACCACGAGGCCAAATGGATAATACAATTAGTGACTGGCACCGGCCGCATTAGAACCGCTGGCTGACCCACGTTACATAAGAGTGTATGACTCAGTGGTCAGAGAACAAGGTTCATTACAGGGACAAGGAACGCGTATCAAATAATATTCATGCAGGATATTTTTATGCGATGTATTTGCTTCCAAAAGTTCACATAAACACAAGTCACTCTAAATCACTTTTATATTTTATGGGGTGTGATAAACGTTGAATTATCTTATAGGACCTATAAGATATATTTACCACACGGCAGAAAACCTCACCAAGATAATAGAAACCATTTTCTCTATGCAAACTATAGATACGAGGTTTGACCTTTATGTGATATTAAAAGGAATTGAATTTTACTGCATGGTACAATGTGTGTGCGCATGTGTGTGTGTAGAGAGATGATCTTAAAAAGAGGTTTGTGTTTCTATATAACCTTTAATTAACATTAAAATCCTGAGGCACCAGTAGCCAGGGATCCAGGACATGTATCACAAAGCTGGATTTTTGGATTAGCAAGAGAACTTCGGATTTAAGGTAATCTGGGATAAATGTACGTGAACAAAGACAGAGTCAGTTTAAAGTGAGTACCATAATTCTGATAAGTTACTTAGCTAACCAACAAACCTCGCTTTGTGATACAGGTCTAGGGTAAAGGTTTCTATTTCTGGAGAGCAGGGCAGTTATGGACTTTAAACAGCTAACTCTAACCTTCTTGTAACAACAACAAAAGCAACAATAAAAGAAAGAGCAACAACGACAAACGAAACAACAAAAACCACAAATGAAACAATAACAAAAAGCAACAATGAATGAAACAACAAAAACAACAAATGAAACAACAAAAACAACAGTAACAGCAACAACAAATGAATCAATAACAAAAAGCAACAACGAATGAAACAACAAAACAACAAATGGAACAACAACCACAACAATAACAGCACCAACAACAAATGAAACAACAACAACAAATGAAACAGCAACAACAATAATAACAGGAATATGGAATTAAATTAAATCCTTCTGTGGTGTTTTCTTTCCTGATGTTGTTCTATGGATTCATGTTACATGGTTTGTAAAGACACACTGTGAAACCATGAAAAATTTCAGAAACACTCCACAGGGGCACTTAAAAATGTAAAATGAATCCTCACATGATAGGTTTATAAGTTCTTTAGCAGCACGAGTAGGAGAGTCCGCTGTTAGATCGACAGTAAACCATGGGTAGGTACTCGCAGATTAGCCAGTGGAGTCCACAGCTGGAGTTAATGGTGGATATTTTATAACCGCCTGAAATAGTAGCAGGAATCTCACAGCAGCCGATTCAGGTCTGTATATAACCTCGACGTGATGCCGTAAATTTGGTTAGCAGGATTATTTGTCTTGCATAACAGCTAACTCCCTTCAGCAAACAAATGGCCACAGTCATAGCTTATTTATATGGGTATATGACTGTTGGCACGAAAGGAAATGTAATGTGCTTTACCAGATTTAGAAAGTGTTAGAATTTTAATGACTAAACAACTCTCTTGTGAGCACCGTTCTTGGTAGAGGTGTCCTGTGCCGTTCTTTAAAGGGGAAACGCAGAAAACGGGTAATGTGAACTGGGAAAAGTCACAATGGTCTCAGCATGGACACCAGATACACAGTTACATGAGAACTTTAAAGGTCAACAGCACATTTGAGAAAGGTTGCATTTCATGTGCTGTAGAACGTTGCTTGATTTACTTAAAATTATGCACACAAATGAGATGGACCGGGGTCTCATCTGTGGTACACCTCGCTGTATGCCGTGAAATATTCTGGATCGGCTTGACCATGATTGAATGTTACCGAAAACGTATCCTCCCTGGAGTGTTCGCACACCGGTTTTCCATTAAAGACTGACTGTAAATTGCGCTGAGCTTTTTGCACTGGTATTCTGTACAGGGACTTGCCTTGTGCCCAGTGTTTCAGGTCCACCACAACCCTATGGCGGATCAGCAGTGTAGAGATTCAAGAACTATTTTGCATGGATGGATGGATGGATGGATGCTCTAATGCAACTCAACATTCCCTGGTTCACTTTAGTGACAAAAAGGAATGTAATAAGTGGCAACATATAATATAATGTTTGGAGAGAACTGAGTGTTTTCAGTATAAAAATGTCATAAAGCCGCCAGAGGCAAACCCAGGAGATCCGTGTGCGGCAGCTTTTCACTCTACAATACATTGAAGCAGAAATAATATTATCAGAAAGCCCTACCTTCGAAATAAAAATGTGTTATACTTGGAATAATATTTTCAGCATTGTGCAGCCAAGCAGCAGGAGAGCAGAGACCTTTCGATAAGTACGGGGTGCTCAGGACCTCAAAGGGCCACTTTCAATCGTTCTTGCAAAACAGTCAGGCGATCGGGCCCCCCAAACAGTCAGGCGATCGGGCCCCCCAAACAGTCAGGCGATCGGGCCCCCCAAACAGTCAGGTGATCAGCCCACGCACGTCCATGAGACAGGCTTCTTCTGCCAAAACCATGTTGAGATCTTTATGTTTTACATGCTGTTATGCAATTCAACCAATAATCATCAATTATGTATTACTAATAAGCATCTGTTGGTTTATACTTTGAGGCGGCACGGTGGTGCAGTGGGTATCACTGTTCCGTCACACCTCTGGGACCAGCGTTTGAGTCTCCTCTATGGCTCCATGTGTGTGCAGTTTGCATGCTCTCCTTCTGTCATCATGGGGTTTCTTTCAGGTACTCCCCCCCCCCCAGTCCTAAAAGATGCTGATGTTAATCAGAGTTTCCAAATTGCCCATGTGTGTCCTGTGATGGGTTGGTGCCCCATCCTAGGTTGTTCCCTGCTTTGCACCTATAGCCCCCCCTCATGAGACTGCATATTGAGCAGCTGTATGATTGTTGTACAGATGGAGCAATACAAAGTAATTTGCTGCCATCAGTAACGTAACTATTTACTAAGATTAAAGCGAGTGATAAATGATCGGAGACCCTGCGGTCTCTCCGGTTTCCTGCTTGGCGCTCAGGCTGACGAGTTGAGAGGGCGAGTAGATGTGCCTGGTATCAGACGTAATCAAACGAAACCACATTCTCAGAATGTGAGTCATCGGCTGTAACCGCAACAGCAAACGTGTTACAGGCTTGTCTGTTTCGCTTACTTAACACCATATATAATCATAGCCCTTTCATTTTGACAAATATTATCTAAATACTATCTAAATTTGACAAATATTATTACAAGCACAAGGGTTT